CGATGCGGGACCCGATCCAGGGACTCCAGGATCATGACCTGAGCTGAAGGCAGTCGCTTAACCAACTGAGCCACCCAGGTGCCCACAAGCCTGTGGTCTTTGTTACCAGTTACTCAACTCTGTCATACTTCAAAAACTGCCACAGACAGTATGCAAATGAGTGGACATGACTGTGTTCCAATAAAATTTTATTTACAAAAACAGGCTGCAGGCCAAACAGGTTGTAGTTTGCCAAGCCCTAGACTTGACCACTAAGATTTCTTTGCTTGTAAGATTCTTTAATTCTTGATTGGAGGGAGAGGAAAACAAAATGAGGGAGTGTATCTTAAAACTTCATTCCCAAAGGTATCATAAGCATCAGAATTATTGGTTACTTGTATATTGTGGTGTATAGAGTTGATATTTTTTGTTTTCTGTATGATGATGGTTGGAGTTACCAGCTATCAAATATTTCATTATTGTTCTTAGTCTTTGTATCTCCAGATCTACACTGAACTATTTATATTCTGTTTTAGTGACTGGTGCCAGTTTCTTTGTGTTCAGCGGCGCTCTGAAATCTTCTTCCGGATATCTTGCCAAATCCAGTATTGTGGAAGGTAAAGAGTAAGTTATTTACTGCATGTGTATTAGTTCAATCCTAATTATACAACTAAAAAGCAAGGGATGTTGGAGTGCCTGGCTGGCTCAGTCGGTAGAACATGCGACTCTTGATCTCAGGGTCCTAAGTTCAAGCCCCGTGTTGGGCATAGAGCTTACATAAATGATAATAATAATAATTTAAAAAAATAAAAAGCAAGGATGTTAAGTCAAACCATGATACTTCTACAGTAGATTCCTGACTCCTATTATGTATTCAATAGCATCTTACTCTTAAGCTAATTAATTCTCCAAAGAAGGGAGTAAGTGGTAGAGATATCATGGGACAGTGACATAAAAATTAAGAGATGGCCTTTCAGAGCTCTGGGATAGGGTACCCAAGGGGACATAGTCTGAGTTCAAATATATCATTGGGCTCAAATCTGTAAATATGTAGATGAAGTTCAGTCTGCCTTAACTCACAAGAGTGCTGCAGTCATCATTTGGGGTACAGAATGGGATGCACTTGCTGCTGGTTTGCTGTAATTAGATTAGACATGACACATATCCTGACAAAAGCTAATTAAATGAGAGTTAATGAAAGACTAATGAGCATACTGTTTATTTTCTTTGTCATTTGACTCTTCCTATATTTTGATCTGGTTACTTTGGATCTGGTTAGTCTTGTTGCATGACAAATTTACCCAGAACTTAATGGTTAAAGCAACTATTTTAAAATGTTCCTCTGGGTCAGGAATCTTGACAAGGTAGTACAGGGATGTCTAGGGCCTCAATTGGGATGACTTGATAGCTGGGGGCTCGAATTATCTGAAGGTTTGTTCACTCACATGTCTGGGGCCTGGCTTGGGTTGATTTAAAGACTAGGAGTGGAGACTGAAGTACTCACACTTTGACTCCTTAGCATGCCTTGGTGGCCTTGCGGTAGCTGGACTTCTTACTGCAGCATGTGTTCTAGCAAAAGGCAGAAGCCAGGTTGCTTCTTAATACCCAGTCTCGAAAGTCACACGATGTCACTTCCACCAGACTGTAGTGTTGGAAGTAGTCATAAGCCTTCCCAGGTTCAAGAGAGGAGGATTTAGACTCCACTTCTTAATGGGGAAATGGGAAGGAAGCATTGTGAGAAAACATGTGAGAAGGGAGATACCATGGTGACCTTTGGAAGGTACCATCAGCTGCACATGCTGACAGGTTTTCATTTCCACAGTAGCTTTCCTCCAGCGCCCTGTCTGAAAGCTGGAGTCCAGTGTGTTAACTGAAATACAGAGACAGTGTTACCTGTGTTAATAGATACTGGCTTTGACCTCCTTTATTGGTAAGCTTGGTAAAACAACTAGTGAAGAGCAAAGTACATTAATATTTTACAACTAAATTTCACAACTTTACAAAGCAGAAGCATGCTGTTAAGAAATTGTTAAGAAATCTAGGAGTTAAACAGTCATTGGTCCTAAGTGACTAATGCCTTTGTGATCAAGTCTTGACTACATTTGAAATTGTATCTTGACAAAGATGATTAAAAAAACACCCTTTAAATGTTGTGGAAATGATAATTTGAACTGACACAGATCATTATAATGCAAAGTATTGTGTTTAAAAGTTATGTCTGTGTCTTTGGATTGGGAATTCCTTAGGTCTTATATTTCACTGTGTCAGTTGAACAGTTGGCAGCCTATTTATGAAATTTTTATTGAAGCTTTTATGAAATTATCTTAGTTGATGAAATTTTGTGTCAATGAAGCCGGGTAATTGCTCAACACGTGACAAATTTCACCCTGAATTTCAGTGTTTGCCTTTGATTTGGGTAGGTAGCAGGCCAAAAATAGTTGCCATGTGTTGGCTACAAGGTGGCTCATGTGAAACACATGTGGTAGGTTTGCCTTACTGCTGCCAGTGAATGGATTTATTCCTTCTCCTACTACTGTTGTTTACTCAGTGACTTATTTAACAAACATTTCCTGGGCATTCATTGTATGCCGGGCAGTCACAGTAAGGTGAGAGAGACAGGGGTGCAAACACATAAATATGATTAGAGCATGATAAATGCAAGAGTGAAAACAGTTCTATCAGTCCAGAAGGGGGATGTGAGCAAGTGTACATTTTCCCTTTGAGCGGTCTTAGGAGAAACTCAGTTGTGTCTGAAGTGAAATCAACAGGTGAGTTTTTAAGCAGAAGCCATCTGGTGTTTGTCCTCATAGCACTCTCAGAAGTAAGAGATTCAGCTCAAAGAACAGAACCTCTTTATATCTGTCAGCTTTAGAGAGCAGCGCAGAGTTTTACATTTAATCCTAAAAGGATTTGTTAGGTACCGTGATTCATCTGCCCCTCTCCCTGGCTTTGCGTTGTTTCCATCTGTATTATCTTGGTGCTGATTCTCAGATGGCGTTATGGTCCAGATCACAGCAGAGAACATGGATGCCTTGAGGCAGGCACTGCGAGACATGAAGGACTTCACCATCACCTGCGGCAAGGCAGACGCTGAGGATCCCCAGGAGCACATCTACATCCAGTGGGTGGATGATGACAAGAAAGTCAACAAGGGGTAAATGCAGAGGACTTTCCCTCTTGTGGCATTTAGTTATGGACTTGGCTCTGGGTTTTGTCTACGCTGGTGTTTATAACTTTACTGAAAGCCCAAAGAGAAAGGACTGCTTTGGATATATGTAACATAAGATTTTAAATTTCTAGTTTCTTGGCTTAATTTCTGAAGGAGTTTCTCTGCATATTTTTTTTTTTTTTAAAG